TGAGTGAATTATGCATGAATAAAGTCATAAAACTAACTGAGCTTCAAAAACTCATCTTGCCTAGGAACATAACTAGAAAGCTATCAAAAATAATTTTCCCTTTTGACAGAATAGTACAGTGAATTAAAGTCAAAACATCTGGAATTAATGTAGATTCCAGGGCCAAAAAACTATGAAGAAAGGGAAAGAGAATGAGACACAAACAGCCCTTGAGTCATTTAAAAACTTATGATTGCAATTTCCAGCCAATAATCCTTTCCAGCTGAAAATGTCCAAAGACTTGGAACAGAAGGTATACAGAATGATGACGCTTCATTTACATTAAAGCAAATAAAATTAACTACCTATCTATTTACATTTATGTATAGAAATGCACAGTAATAAGATAGGAAAGTTTCACACAAAACTTGCCAGGGCAAAAGGGACTACTGCAGGGGGATGTCACTTCTACTCTACACATTTGTAGCGTCTGTCTCTTAGACAACAAGAGTATATGCATGTTTTATTTAGGCAATATAAAAACTAACAAAATAAAGCTCTTTAATCTACTTCCTTAGAGATAACCACTGATTAACAGTTTGTTGTATAGTAAAGATTTTCTTTCTCTATAGTCAGACAGATACAGAGATAACTTTTAAAAAATAAGTTAAATGGACAGGAATTCTGTCTCCAGGAGGATGGGATAGACATACTTTTCCCTATTCCTCACCTTAAGTACAACTAAAAACCCTAGATCTTACATATAAAACAAACATAAGAAGATCCAAAAAGGTGGAGAAAAGCAGACTGACTAGGGACCTCAGGACCCAGAGGATGAGGTGGTTGTCAGCTCTCTGGGTTTTCTTTTTGTCTCATATAACCCAAACCTGGAGCCGAAGTCGTCGGTAACTCAGAAACCCCAATGGATGCAGACAGAAAAAAAGCCCCAATATAAGCCACTCTTTCTAGCCACAGGATTAGGAAAGGGACAGCCTAGCAACATAGAAAACTTTTAGACAATAACTGCTCTATTCCAGCCAAACACCACAGAACACACTGTGGCCCCACGCACACCCACACCAGCAAAAACCTAGACTTTCACCCTCGCCAGACTGTAAGGAGGCACCCTAATCCCCCAATTCCTCCAATGGGTTAGTGTCAGAGAAGGCAGGCGGAGAGCCAGGACTTTCATCCCAGGAAGGCGGTAACAGACTACCACACTACCAACCCACCCCATTCCTTCAATGTCAGTGAGACCACATGGGAGGAATAACAGCATCCTATCCCTCCCAGCCAAGGAGGCATCAGTGGAGTCCCAGTAAGGAGCCAGACGCCTCACCTGCCACAGAGCAATTACAAGGAGCACTCCCTCGGGTGTCAACAGAGACCCAATGGGGAATGTGGACTTCTACCCCTACGTAGCAGTAAAGACATGGCACATGCTCCCTTTCAGAAGCCAGCCAAAACAAAAATTTTAAATAAGATCCATAGTCTCAAAATGTCCAGGTTTCAATCAAAAGTCACTCATCATATCAAGAACCAGAAAGACCTCAAGCTGAATAAAAAAGAGAATCAACAAATAGATGTCAACACCAAGAGATCTTATAATTACCTGACAAAGATTTTGAAGCAGTCATAAAAATGCTTTGAATAAGCAATTATGAGCCCACTTAAAACAAAAGAAAAAATAAACTCTCAGCAAAGAAATAGAAGACAAAGAACCAAATGAAAATTTTAGAATTGAGAAATAGAATAACCTAAATAAATGAGTTAAATGAGTTACATTCTTGCTTTTTTTCACTTAATACCTAGTGAAAATCTAAACCTCTCTGTATATACACACACAGCATTTTTTAGTAGCTATAGTATTGCACTGTATGAATTAACTATCATTTATTTAACTAATCCTCAATTAATGGACATTTATATTGTTTATAGTTTTTCATTACTACAAACCATACATATTTGCATAATTATGTCTTTTTTTGCATAATTATCTGTTATTTTTAGTAAAGAACATCACTAAAAATGAAAGTGCTATGTGAAAGGGCATGCACAGTTTAAATTTTCATACACACTGCCACACAGCCCTCCAGAAAAGCTGTACCAATTACATTCCCACTAATATTGTGTAAGCACACCTACTTTCTCACATCCTTGCCAACAATGGGTATTGTCTCACTGTTTTTCCTCGTTTTCTAATTTGACAGGTGAAAATAATATATTGTTGTTTTTACATACATTTCTTTATTATGGTAAATATATTTTCATGTGTCTATAAAACAAAGTCTTTCTTTTGAAAATTACCTATACAGGTCTTTTGTGAATTCTCATTGTTTATCTCACTAATATAAAAGAACCCTTAGTATTTCACAAATATAAACTGATTGACATATATGGTAACATATATATTTTCAACTGTTTTGTTGGGTTTTTCTGATGCTTTTTTTTTCTGCAGAAGAGTTTTAACTGGTTTAGATTTCATTTTAGCAAATCAAGTTTAACTAAATATTAGTCCCATTCAATTGAAGTACAAAGACATCAATCTAAAGACTCAGTCCCAACTAGTTTTAGAGCCTATCAATCATGAAATCACCACTCTTGCTCCTGATAAGAGTCTAGAATTAGTCTTTTGTTTTATTGAGGGGAAAGAAGAGAATGCTGGCACGTACTACTTACCTATATAGTCAATTAAAATAGTCTTTTCCAGATACACAGTTTCCCCAGGTGGCATGATTGGACTTCTGACTCCATTTTTTAAAATATAATATTCCATTTCCACATTGGGATCCCACTCCTACGCTAAACCCCAACCTATCTGGCTGGTGACTTGACAACCTACCTTATAGCCCTTTTATCTACTGGAGGCTGGACCCTTTCAAAACCATGGCTTTCACTGTTATGTGGAAACCTACCTCAAAATAACCCAAACTCTGAAAACTACTACACTGCCATCTGATGGCTCATTATTATCACTACCTAGAAATTTTTGCTACCATGCTCTGACCTTCTTTTGGAGACTGACCTAAATTTACTAAGCTACCATGTGTGTCATCATTTGGACTGCAAGTCAACTCACTTGAGCTGTTGCTCAGCTAGAACAGAAAATAAAACAAATGCGAGGCATTATTCCTTTCTTTTCTGAGCATCTGTTCTCCCTACTTACTTCTTTTCCCCCACCAGCCAGTCACAGGTTCTGGCATACTTCATAATAAAAGGCTACCTGGTTTATGACAAGTAGCACTAATAATCTCATAAAAAATAAGCACAATCACTGGAACTGTAATTTCTGTGAAGGTCATATACATAAAATCATAATAAAAAAAGTTTAAAAGAATACCTTTTAATAATGTGAAGAGAGAAAAATTCAAAAACACATCTCTCTATACATATATAACCTAATGTTATTTCAGTATTTCATAGAATTTGTCTATAATTTTTTTAACCAGCCCACAAACTGCTTACCAGTCCTTTCCTTAACTACTAACGTATTAGTTAAAGACTTATCTCACATCTATAACCATAAAGACAGTATTAATGCTTAGGGCTATATCACATTAAATTTTTCATCTTCTTCATTTCTTCTAACATTTTCAAGCCATAAGTAATTTCTTTTTTAGCTAATTTTATTCATGTTCCAGGATACTTCCACACTAAAAAAGAAATTTTTAATTAAAAATGTCAGATCGATAGCCAGAAAAACATATGCTCACCATATATATATGCTCACCAAAATATATGCTCACCATACACGTACTTAGTCAGCAAAGACCACACCCTTAGCTAAAGACATACAGCAAAAGTTCATCTTCAATTCTTTAGCAATCTACAAACTATACTCCACTAGAGTCAATTTTACAAAGTATCAAAGTACTACCATCCTGGATCAGGAAAAAATAGCTAGAAAGAACATTGTTAGGTTTAACTCAGTAGTTCTCAGCCAGCGACAATTTTGCCCCCCAGGAAACATTTGGTAGTACCTAGAGACATTTTTGGTTATCACACTGGGGGAAGGAGGAGCGCCGTATCTAGTAGGTGGAAGCTAGGGATGCTGTTAAACATCCTATAATGCACAGGACAGTCCCCTATAACTGGTCCATAACATGTATAGTGATGAGGTTGAGAAATCTGGGACAACTGACGAAATCTGAATATAGACTGCATTGTATCAATGTTAAATTTCCTGACTTTGATCACTTTCATGTGGCTTTGTTCCTAGGAAATATATATCAAAGTACGCAGGAAAGGAATAAGTCTCAACTCACCCCCAAATGGTTCAGAAAAAGATAACACATATACACGTAGAGAGAAAGAATGAATGATAAAGCAGTGAGCCAAATGCTAACAATTGGTGAATCTGAGTAAAGAGTATAAAAAATTTTTCTCATTATTCTTGCAATTTGAAATTATATCAAAATAAAAATTTAAGCAAGTATTAGCATAACTGTAAAGTTCTTTTAACTGGGAAACTTTGCACAATTTCCCAGTATATATGTGCAATATGGCAGATCAGCTTTCTTTTTACTCCTTTCTCAAGATAAATTACACTATCTTGAATGGATACTTGTAAATTGGACCCAGATAACTCAAATAAGTATAAGCTTAAAAGTATAATGTCTAAAATGTGAACTGCAGAGAAAAAGCTAGGAACATCTAGATGTCTACCAAGGACATGACATTCTTTAGTATATCACAGTAAATGCATGCCCTAAGACCCCTGCATTGTGTGTTTTAGGCTTTCGGTACACACTGAAAACTGCAATAATTTAGAATCACATAAGATCTAAACACAATCAGTAGGAAAGCATGTATAAGAAATACAAAAACATTTTTAAGACTCAGGTTTTCAGAATTTTAACATCAGTTCTAAATTCTTGAACCTTATCATTCCTATTTCCAGGCACTTGTTACTTAAACAGCATTCAACAAATATACAATAACAGCTTTGCAAATTTAACAGTTTGCTTTTGAAAAGCAATAATTAAAACTTTTAAATACAGGAAAAAATTTAGAGCACTTACAGATGTCTGGGACATACTTGACTGTTGCGTGACACTTCCTGTGGGGGATGTGGATGGTCTTCCACTGGACAAACTTGCCTAAAATAATAAGATCTTTACAATATGTCTACAAAATCCTGAAGTTAAAAACTTTCTGGTACCAGGACACCACAAAACCACAATGAAAGTCAAAATGTCTATGTATGAACCAATTCATTTTGCAGTCAACATGGATTAAGCTTTGGCTAAACAGATTAAGAAAAAAAGAAAAAGCTGAATGGTGAAAACCCAAAGGCTAAGCTTACTTTAATAGCTGCACTTATCGTCAGTTTTACTCTACAGGTCTCTGTCTTCTGTGAAGTGGAATCACCTCTCCAATGTTATGAAAAAGAAACTGAAGCTACATCAAGTACCAGTGGGTTTCAGTTTCCTAACTAGTATCATGAACACGATGTTATTTAAAATTACACTACCAAGAAGTAACAGCTGGGGATGTGTTTATAATAGAAATAAACCTTTCTCAGGTTCAGTCAACTGAGATCCTCCTCTAGTGAGATTTAAGATTAAATCTCATATATAGTTTTATTTAAATAAATAGTAAAATAAGAATGAAAATTTTTTAAAAAATAAGCATGTAATCATAAAATCATCCTATTATGAGTAAAAAATAGTATGACTGGATTTTAGTAAGGTGCATATACACATTTTATTTAGAAAATTTCTGGAGGGCTACCTATTAAACTGTTACAACGGCCACCACTGAGGAGTGAACAACAGCAGTGGGTGTGGAAAAGGAACACCTCTACTTTACCTCTTATAAACAAATACCTGATGTTGTTAATGAGTGTAAATTACTTATAAAATAAAAAAAACCTTTTTTGTTAAAATGTAAACATAATTCATGTAACCCTAAGTATTCACTGTTGTACCTAGAATTTCATATACAAAACCATGAAGTTAGCATAGCACTTCCGCAATGTAGAAAAAAGCAGTGAGACAAAAGCTAGCAACAGAGTAACATGGAAAACATATCCATTTTTTTTTAATTAACTTCTATTTGGCAGGCTATTATATTTCCTTAAGGAAAAATAATCACAGGACATTTGAGAACTATGAAATATCCAGTGTATTTATTTTCAGTAACTATCTGCAGATACTGTCAACTTTGGTCCCCTGAATTCTTATTTCAGTCTCACCTGAACAGCAGCAAGGCTTTGAAGCTGGGAGCTGCTTAAATGCTGCTGCTGAAGAGCTGCAGTGTGCAGCATTAAGTGCTGCTGTTGAGCTGCATACATCTGCTGAAGGTACTGAGCAGCTGAGCTGGGGGGGCGATGCAATGCCTGTTGAATTACCTGTGATAAGTCAAGTGAACCAATGTCAAACCAGAATCTTAACCATAAAATAAAGTATAAAAAAGTAGCAGTTTAAAATTTCACTACTGTAATATTCAATGTCATCAAGCTTATTAACATAGTTCTCTCCTAGTTTCATATCACTACAATTCATTAATCTGTACAAATTAAAATTACCCAATAGAGGTAATTCACAAAAGAAAAAAGGGCCAAATAAGCATTTGAACAGATCTGCAATCTCACTAGTTAAAACTTACAAATTAAAACACAATACTATTTTCCAACTTTCAGATGGATCAAGATTTAAAAGACTACTACTACTAAATAGGGAAACAGATAACTCTCATACACTGTTAGTATGAATGTAAACTGGTATAACCGTTTTGGATAAAATTTGGTAGAATTCAGGGATTGGGTGCAGCGAGGAAAATATATATACCTTCAGCCATTACAAATAGTAATGTAGATGAGTGCCGTTCAGTACAGCCACTAGCCACACCTGTCTCCTGAGCACTGTGCTAGTGCAACCAAGAAAATGAGTCTTGGACTTCACTGAATTATAATTTTAATTTAAATATAAATAGTCCCATGCAGTCAGAATCTACTGTATTGAACAACACAGAAATATCCATATTTATTAACAAAAAAATTCCCAAATATATCATTAGGTGAAAAGAGCAGGTTACTAAATAGTGCATAGAGTAAGATATCATTTTTACATTAAAATATTTAAAAGAATATTTAAGAAAACATTAAAAGACTACCAATGGGCAGCTAGATTAGAGGAGATTTTTATCTTCTCATTTGTACTTTTCTTTAAATATCTGAAAAAACTTACAATGAGTAGGTCTTATATTAATAATCACATAAAATTATAAAGCTATTTTTTTAGAAAATTACTACATAATTACTTTTTCAAATATTTTTTAAATGTCAGATTCCTTGTTTCGATTGTTTCAACATAGAATAAAACTATTCTTACTAAAAAAAAATTCCTGAAAGTCCTAATTACTGTGAATACTTATTAGTAAAATACAAAATCTGAGTCTGAAACTTCATAAACAGATAAATGTAGAAGAGTCAAGTACTCTAATCACAGAGAAAAATCCTTTATCAGTCCAAACCAGTAAGTCAGACTACGCCAGTCCTCTGCAATCACATCCCAAAGTCATGTCATGCCCACACTGACTCTGAAAGAGCACGAATCCTAATCTCAGCATCAAACCACAGAGTTTTCACAGGGCTAAGGAAGTAACAGAGCCACAATCCTACAGCTTGAGGGACTGAGTCAGGACACCCTGAACCACAAAACTGTGAATCTCTTTATCCAAATACCAAGAAAGCATATTTCCTTCTGCTGTTTGCCTTCATGTGTTCCCATCTCATCCATATTTAGCTTACTATACCTGCTACAGACTCCTGTCACAAAATCAATGTAGGCATTTGACCCCTAGTTGCAGAGGTCTAAAGACTAGCATTAAGTGATTCAGAATTACAACAATGTCTTTTTGGTCAGGTAAATGTATACATTTTCTTCTAATTCCATAACAAAATTCTAAAATCAAACTGAAGTAACAAATGCATAAGCTATCTGACAGATATTTTTGCCAGAGAGTAGTAATTTTTTTCTATTGTCAGCAGTCTTTCATTACCATTCAATGCTATACTCATGGGAGAGAGACTCTTTAAATACACGTTAAAGGTACAGCACATTGTTCTTATTTTGCTCCTCTAAAGGAACAAGGAGGGTAAAGAGAATTCACAGGACTGAAAAAGAAAGCTGGAAGGCATTAAAGAACTACTTAGGTAGTTCAATAAATATGGATTTGATTGCATTTTAAGAGAAGCAATTCTATGATCTCATAGGAACTAGTGTAAGTGCTATTTGTGAGATATATCTATATCTATACATCTCCAGTAACACACTATTTTTTTATTAACACATCCAGCTGAGGTAAAAACTAGAGAACAAAATGGCTTATTAAAATATTACATCATCAGTACACTCAAAGATCTAGATACTCTTCCCCATATCCCCTGCCTCGGAAAAAGGTGAAGAACACAAAAAACACATTCTACAATCCAGTTTGAATTTCTGCTGAACTGACTGGGTCTCCAGCAATTCTGATTCCACCCATGTTAACCTCAGAATCCTAAACCATAGAACAGTTAAATAGCCATTATAATGAGATAGTCATTCTAGGAGAATGGAGCAGGGAGAAGACTACATTGCAAACAGGTAAGTTATTTTCAGGGTAGAATGCAATCATGGGGATTAGAGAGAGAGAGTAAGCAAGTATAATGGAAAAAAAAAGAACTCACAGAGTGGTTAAGGGCACAACTCTAATGTCAGAAAACCTACCGGCTATGTGAGTTTAGAAATGTTATTTAGCCTATTTAAAACATCAGTTTTCACCCATGTGTAAAATGGAGATAATAACCAACTTCATAGAGATATGATGAGGATTAAAAGAGAGAATCCATGTAAAGCATTTATCAAATACATGGCACATAGCAATTGTTCAATAAATATTAGCTATTGTTATTTATTAGGTATATATAATGTGCCCCACACAGTTTGAGATGTTTCCTTTAATCCTCATAATAACTAATGAAGTAGGTGGTCTCATCTTCGTTACAGTTTCCTGAAGCTCAAGGAGATTATGCCTCTCACCCAAGGCTACATAGCGACAAAGAAAATGGAATTCAAACAAAGAACATATCAGACTGCAATGTCCATGCTTTTTTTATCAGTCCTGCAATACCATATTGCCTCAACCTCCATTATTATAAAGGTTAACAAAGTAAGCTTAATTTTCTCAACTAAGTGAAGAGCCTAAGACTTTTCCTAGTTAAACACATATTCCCTTCCCCTTTTGTCCCTAAGAGCTTTAGAATGGATCCTCCTGCTTAGGGTTCTTAGGCCACTTGGGTTTAAAATGAACCTCTTAACACATCTACAGACCTGAATAGATCTCCCTAAGTCTATATTTTGGGTTCAAATGTAAAATAACCCAGAAAAACCTAGAGCCATTCTGCATATTGGGGCTCTACATCGAGTGTCTCCATATTGCAGCAATAATTAGGAAGCTTCCAATTATAATTTTCCTGATATACCTTTTTACAAGGTACATGGTGACAAAGGTAAGCCCTGTCAATAGAATGATTATTAAATAACCTTTTGGTTGTTTCAATCATTAACAATTCTAACTGTAGTCATTTAGAGGTTACCACGCAACCCATTCGAGGATATGAAACAAGAGATTCATCCGGTTTAAGCAAAAAGTAATGACACGCTCAGTCTTGGTCTACCCGTCATTATAACTGAAATACCTGCACAGCGTGCCTGTCTGCACCACTGTAGACAGAGATCTGTGGCTGCTGCATTCGAGAGGAGGAAGTGGTGATGGTGGTGGTGGTGCTGCTGTTGGTGGTTGTCGACGCAGAAGAGGTTCCAGGATTTGGTTCACTATCCATGGCTGTACTGTGGTCCTTAAATCTAGCAGACAACACAGACGGTTTGTATTGGCAAAAGCATTATCTTATGGGCTTTAAAGAATCTTTAGTTATTCCAAAGAAATAATAAGCAACAGTCTAAATTTCTAAGAAGGGCCTCATAAAATACAGATAGCACACAATCACCACAAGCACTTAAAAGGGAAAAGTATTTCACAAATATATAGCATATTTAATAGTTAATATCTACTAAATTTGACTTCAATTGATTCAGGACATGTAACTCAGATAAAACCCAGCATGAAGTTATCTTTTCATTATTGAAGGAAGATGAGTGTTTTGAAACCAAAACAGGTGATACAAGAATACTAACCTACGTAGGAAAATAAAAACTTAAGCAATATGAGAGTACTTTAAAATATTTCTTCACGTTCTTTTGACCACACTAATTACAAATTAAAGTAATTCTTACCTATACATTAAAATATAATGCCTAAGAACTTGTGTTAATTAGCTTAGTTTTGGGGTACCATATATACACTTTGCTTTAAAAATAAGTTCTCTTAGAAAATAAGCTAATAAAAAAAATTACGTTTATTAACTCACACTGGCTTTTCCCCTAATTATTCTACAATATTGTCCTTATTTCATCAAATAACTCTTATAAGCAGATTACTCTGACTGGGGAAATAGAGAAGCAGCTGACAACAATTTCCCCACTTTCTGACAAAAATCTCTTTTCACAAAATTGATCCAAATTTAGAGAACAGCATAATTATGTCACTTTCCTCAGGTATCGACAGTAAAGTACGTTTTTGTACAAGACTTTCTGATTCTTTTCCCTTCAATATTACAAACTCACATCACTATTGTGGTACGAAATTCCACTAAATACAGAATCTGTATTTGGATAAATTCAAACAACACTTTATTCTAAGTCAATTCGGAGGGCCTCAATGTTGTCGGAAACCAGAACTACAGTAGATTTTATAAAATTAGAAATGCATCACAATGGTGAAAAGCACACGTGAGAATATTCTGGTTTTCTCTGCCTTTCTTATCTGTCTTGTCTTCTGAAAAAAAAAAATCTGACCCACCTCACATTAGCAGCATTGACAAGAATGTAACAAGAACGCATTCTTCTTCAAGAAAAGACAAAGGAATTTGGCACTAATTGTGTATGCATACACTATTCCCATATGGTGTCCTCTTATGTACAAATTTTCTTTGTTCTTTATATCATTTATGCAAATAGTAGTCAAACGCTCTTCAAGGATTCAAATGGATAAAGATCTCGATTTACTAAGAGGAAAAGCAAAAGGAAAAAAGTGGGGGGAAAAAGCTGACTCTTCACTAACTTTTTTGATAGTAAATGACTCATACATCTTTATGCTTCTCTGTTGTTTTAATAGTTTTCCAAACTGCCTTCCACTCATCAAAGCACAGCATCATAGGTTGACTGTTCAACATCACACAGATTTAATGATAGACGAGGTAAACTTTTCACCAAATTACTGGCTGTCATAACACTTCTGAACCTCGTACCAGTGATATGCAAAAAGCCAGCTTAAATTCGGGTCCTTTTAGACTGCTATTCTGCTTAACCATGAACTCAAACCCAAACCCTATAGTAAGCAGTTCAGTAACTAACCAAAAATGGTCACAGAGAATCCAAATTCGAGGCACCAGTCTAAACATCGATGAGTGGAACTGGCCAAACCACTGTACTGCATTTGGAGATCTGGCACAAAAGAAAATTTTGGTAACTCCACCGTCTATGTATAGTAACGCCTGCAAAATGCAGCCGGCCAGTCCTGGTGCACAAGAGGCCTAGGCAGGAAACACTAAGTTTGAGTCGCTCGCTAAGCATACCATCACACCGCCACACAAGAATGTGGCCCTCTAGGGAGGCATCCACACTGCAGCCAGAGACCCGAGGGAAAGATCTTTCCTTCCAGGGTGTTTTCTGCCGGGCCAGCCCCGCAGGAGCCCGGGCCGCTCTGAGGCCCGCGCTGGGACACCTCTCCCCGCCTCCCGGGGGAGGGCGGCGAGCCGCCCCGCGTCTCGGTTCTCCCACGGAGGAGGAGTGGGGTGGCGCCGGGGAGGGAAGGAGGGGAGCGCGAAGGAGGCCTGCCAATGCCCGCCCAGCCCTACCCAGCCTCCGCGGGCCCCCGGCGCGGGCGCGAGGCCCCCTAGCAGGGGTGACAGCGCCTGAGGGGCCCAGCGGGGCTCATCTCCCGGAAGACCCCCGCGGTCGGGGTCCCAGGGGTGACCCTGAGCGCAGGGCCCCGCCGATCCGGGACCAGACGGCGGAAGGGGCGCTCCCGCCTGGAGGTAACCGGACCCTTACAGTTCGCCTCCGTCCCCCGACACGGGCCAAGCGGGCTCCTCCACGATAAGGGGCTCTCGGGTCTCCTTTTCCCTCGCACTGCCCGCGAAGGAGCCTCGAGCTTTCCCCTGGGGGGGACGTGTCGCTGCCCCCACTCGCCCCCCGGTTACGACATCAGTCACCAGCAAGTCACTCACTCCGCTTCCGCCATCTTCTCTCCTCCATCACTAGCACGGGCTGCGCATGCGCCCCCCGGCGGCGGGCGGAGGGGCGGGGTCGACTCAGCCCGGGGCCCCCGAGGTCACGTGGGGTCCTCGGCTTCCAATCCCCCCTCCCACCTCAGGCCTTGCTGTGTCTGGGAAGTGACCAGGTTTCCCCAGTTTAGATGCTAGTCTCATCCCCAGCCCTTCGCTTTCTCTTTCCTAGGGTCTTCTTCCTCTTGGGGAGGGGTCTGTAACCAAGATATGCAAAGTTCTGCTTAGACTTTTTAATTAAAAATGTGAAGAACATCTAAAATATACCATTGCCTATGCAAACTGCAAAGAGGGAGATGAAAGAAAATACGAGGATAGGATGCTGAGGTCTTAGAGGGAAAGGAAATGCTATGTGGCTGCAGGGCTTGTTACGTGGGGCGCATTGGAATTTGGGGTTCAGAACCAGCAGTCCCTGACAGGCTTTAAAATAGTGTTCCAATGCCGTGATGGGGGTGGTTGAGAAATCGTCCTGATTACCCTGTGAATATCACTCATGTCTTCCACATGAATTTACTGAGCGCTTAGTAGGAATTGCAAACCTGAATACCACAGAGAACAAGCAGGAATGGCCACCAGTTTGCTAATGTGCTTGACTATATATGGCAACTTCTCTGAGGCAGGATGAGACGGATATATAAAGATGAGTATAAAAAGACCCTGTCTTCCAGGAAATCTTAATCTGGAGAGGGGCGTGGATTTTATAGAGATATCCATGCGGTATAACTGTTCTGGAACAGATCCATTAAGGGCTTTGGAAACCTTAAGTTCAAGGAATAATAAATCTTTACTGCCCTTCACAGGAAAAACCATACTGATCACAAGTGATGTCTTCTTTTTTGCTTTTCTTAAAATGGTGGAGTCGCAGTAATTTCGAGAACTGAGAAATGAAATATTGATATAAATTCATCATGAAATGCAATGTGGTCTAATGAAAAGTATACTTAATCTTAGAAATCTTGTGTTGCAGAATCTCCCTAGGGAAGGGAAAAGAATGCTTCCTATGTGAGCTAAATTGTCCCTTTACCTTGATTCCCCATCTGATAACATTGTTTCTTTACCTTATTTTCCTCTCTCACAGCAGTGCCCTTCCTACTTCTCCTAGGAGAACTCACTGAGAAAGTCCCCTTTTGAAAAGTCCCTGTAGATGCTTAAAAATAAGATATTACTGCTTTTTCTTTCTTTTCTGACATGCTCATATGATGTCATTGTCATTCAATTCACAAGTCAACAGTCTATTGGTATTACTGAAATTTTTTTTCAGAAAAACAAAAGGGAAGAAAGCACAGTCTTAGACCTATGTTGAAAATGCATAATTCAAGGAAGCGTTTGGAATAAATAGGCCAAAACTGTTCCTTTTCATCCCTCTTTCCTTTGAACATCTAAGGCCTGTATCTACATTGTCACCTTGTGCAGATCAGCTTTAAAAGTCAGGACATATATTGGGCAAAGTGAGACCAGTATTGCTTTTTAGAAACATTTCAAAACTCAGTGTTTATTATAACGACAGCTGACATTTGGATAGCCTTTTCCTAAGTGCAGAAGGACTTCCACAGACTCTTTTCATCTTCACAACAACCCTGTGAAGGAGTTATCATTGTTCCCATTCAGCACAGAAGGATAGTGAGGCTCAAGGTGATTATGTGCTTGTGGTGACTCTGCTAGAGTATACCAGAAGTGGGGTTCTAATTCAAGCTTTCTCTCTCCAAAGCCAGGTTTTCTTCACTGCGTCATTCAGCAAGTCCCTGTGCGAAAAGTTAGAGGAGACAAAGCATGAGGAGGAACTACGCTTGAGAAATTTACCATCACTTATCTGATCAAACAGAGGAAGGTATTTTACCCCTTCGTGATTTCCTAAGGAAAGAAAGGATTTCTACGGCATGCTAGTGGGGTGAACTTTTTTCTGAAGTTTCCAGGAACCACTGCTAGGATCCTATTTGATTTTAGAAAAATCCCTCTCACATTGTGAAGGATGGATTGAAGAAAAGTGAAAATGGAGACAGGGAAACTAATTGAGGAACTATATTAATCCTTAGAGAAATGATAAGGGCTACAAAAATGAAAGGGAGGGCTAGATTCAAATTTTAACTCTGGTTGCATTAGTCACTTCAAGTGCTCAACAACCATGTGTGGCTAATGGCAACTATATCGCACAGTGCAGATATAGAGCATTTCCATCATTGCAGAAAGTTCTATTGGACAGTGTTGGTGTGGACTCTAGATCGGGGGTTGGCAAACTATATCTGTCTTAGTCAGTTTGGGTTGCTGTAACAAATACTGTAGACTGAGTGGCTTAAACAACAAACATTTATTTCTTATAGTTCTGGAGGCTGAGAAGTCCAAGATCAAGATGCTGGCAGATTCAGTGTCTGGTGAGGATTCTCCTCCTGCTTTGCAGACAGCCACCTACTTGCTGTATCCTCACAAGGTGGAGAAAGAAGGCAGTGTAGCAGGAGTGGGGACCATGGGCATTGGGGCCACTTATTCATGTAACTTGCTTGTGCCTTCAGGGCCTGCTTGCCCCTATCATGTATATTCCGCTTTTATTTGATGATGAGTGCTGCTGTGCACACCCAACTTTATGGATTGGTGGGTCAGATAACACTCCGTTCATGATGGGCAGGTCAGATTGCATGGTAACTTGTGACTCATAGGCATTCAGTCTCTGTAAGGCCCAGTAGCAGGCCAAGAGTTGTTTCTCAAAGGGAGGGTAGTTATCTGCAAAGAACGGCAGGGCTCTGTTCCAGAATCCAAAAGGCCTGCACTGTGATTCACTTGTAGGGGTCTGCCAAAGGCTCCAAACGGCATCCCTTTCTGCCACTGACACTTCAAGTACCATTGGATCTGCTGGATCATATGGCCCAACTGGCAGAGCAGCTCACACAGCAGCCTGGACCTGTCACAGAGCCGTGTCTTGTTCTGGGCCCCACTCAAAACTAGCAGCTTTTCGGGTCATTCAGTAAATGGGATGGAGTAAAATACTCAAATGAAGAATATATTGCCTCCAAAACCCAAAGAGGCCCATTAGGTTCTGTGCCTCCTTTTTGTTTGTAAGAGGAGCCAGATGCAACGATTTATCCTTCACCTTAGAAGGGATGTCTCAGCATGCCCCACACCACTGGACCCCTAGAAATTTCACTGAGGTAGAAGTGAAATTCTTTTTGCATTTATTTCCCACCCTCTGGCATGTAAATGTCTTACCAACAAGTCTAGAGTAGTTGCTACTTCTTGCTCACTAGGTCCAATCAGCATAATGTCATCAATGTGATGGACTAGTGTAATATCTTATGGAAGGGAAAGGCGATCAAGGTCCCTGTGAACTAAATTATGACACAGGGCTGGAGAGTTGATATACCCCTGATGTGGAATCATGAAGGTGTATTGCTGGCCTTGCCAGCTCAAAGCAAACTGCTTCTGGTGGTCTCTACTAACATGTACCAAGAAAAAAGCATTTACCAGGTCAGTAGCTACATCCCAGTTACCAGGGGATGTGTTAATTTGCTCAAGCAATGAAACCACCTCTGGTACAGCAACTGCAATTGGAGTCACTGCTTGGTTAAAACCTACAAAATCCACTGTCATTCTCCAAAATTCATCTGTCTTCTGCACGGATCAAATAGGTGAGTTGAATGGGGATGTGATGGCAATAATCTCTGCAATCCCTCCAGGAATATGGTATTGCTGTTGGTTTACTAGTTTTCTAGATAGAAACAATTCTAGTGGCTTCCACTTGGCCCTTCCCAGCATAATAGCCCTCACTGAACATGGCAGGGAACCAATGTGGGGATTCTGCCAGCTGCTGATTATTTCTATTCCAATTATACATGCCAGGACTGGGGAAAAAAACTATGGGATTGGTTTGGGGACCCACTGGGCCTGCTGTGACACAGAATTAAGGGGAAACTCCACCGATCACCTGACCACTATAAGCCCCTACTCTGATTGGTGGACCACAGTGACATTTTGGGTCTTCTGGAATTAAAGTCAGTTCAGAGCCAGTATCTGGTAGTCCCCAAAAGGTGTGATTATTTCCTTTTCCCCAGTGCACAGTTACTCAGGTAAAAGGTGGTAGGTCCCTTTGGTGAAGGCTGAAGAAAGATTAACTATATAAATTTCTGGTAGCGTACCAGTGTCCTTCCTCTAGGGGCTGTGGCCTCCCCTTCATGTAAGGGGTTCTGGGGTCTGTAAACTGGCTCAAGTCTGGGATTGATTGAGGGGCTGTGACTCTTTTTATTATTCAGGTTAGACTTTTGTTTACTTGACCTAGAACTTTTCTACTGATACAGTTCAGGTAAGAATTTAGTAGACTTCGTATCTATTTTACTTCTAGGAACACCATGATCAACTAGCCAGCGACATAGGTCTGCACCAGTCAGACTGTTGGATTGCTGCTTTGACTCTGCTGTCCATCACAGTAACCACACCCCCTTTGCCTCTGGCAGTTGAGCGCTTCCAATTGGCCCCTGCCACCCTGGGATCCAATTACTCCCAATTCAATGGGTACAGTTCTGCTATAACTTCTGGCCTAGAGAGAAGAGTGATCGCAAGAGCGCTTCAAGGATGCCAGGGCTCCCCTCATAAGCTGCTATAGACTGAATGTTTGTGTCCCCCCCAGAGTTCATGTGTTGAAGCCCAAATCCCCAATGTGATAGTATTTGGATTATGGGGTTAGTGCCCTTATAAGAAGAGACATGAGGGAGATGATCTTGCTTCTGCCATATGAGAATACAGCAACAAAGTGGCTGCCTGCAGGCCAGGAAGAAGGCTCTCACTAGACACCACATCCGCCAATACCTTGATCTTGGACTTCCCAGCCTCTAGGACTGAGAAAAATAATTGTTGTTTAAGCCACCTACTCTATAGTATTTGTTATAGCAGCCCAGACTGACTAACATAAGCCCACAGGCCGAATCCCCTTGTTTTGGTACAGCCCT